CCTCGCACACAGTCGATAACTCATCTTGAGCAAGAGAGAGATAAAGTAATCCATTAATTCGCGGAACACTCCTAATTTTTCCTTTCTCTGAAATATATCGACCGAAATTCGGCGGGAAGCAAATATAATGTGCATACGCGCGTGCAGCATCTCTCTGAAGCGAGGTGGAAGTTGCTTTAGACGCAATTTTCCATTCTTGCGGCGCCGAATGAGGAAGTCAATATTGAATATTCATGGCGGCTGCGAAATAACTGATGCGCGGTGCGAGACGCTCTCGCGAAAATAGGATTCCGCCTGTCTATTTTGTTGTGTAAACAACTCACATCGGTGAGAGAGATTTTCTGACGCACACAAACATTGAAATGGAACTCAAGTCGCAAAATTGCTTCGGAAATGGCATGTACAGGAGAAAATTGAAAACTCTCGCGAAATTTGAAATTTTCAAATAGTTTTTCGGAATTAAATATAAAATGCACAAATATTTATCATCTAACTCCAATTCATTTAATTGGTTGAATTAAATTAGTGAAAGATTGAATATTTTAGAGTAAGTTTGTGAATTATTTTTAACTTTAGATGGTCGAGATAAAATTGAATTATGATGTAAATTAAGACCATATATTTTTAGTGCATGTAATTTTAACAGTTACTCCTTCCAATTAGTTTCTACTCTCACAATCAGTATTAAAAAAAAATCAAATTTTGATAGAAAAAAATTATTTTTATAAAATTAATAATTATGGAAACTTACTATTCATTTTATATTTAAATTTGCAAGCTTAAATTTTCTAATAATTTTTTTCTTCTGTAAACTTTTTTTTATAAAAAAGTAATTTTAATGCGATAAAATTTACGTCTTCAAATATTTCAGTTCAATTATGTCCTAGATTTTCTAAATATAAGTGGAATTTACCATTGCAACCATGCTGAAGTTAAATTTAAAATTGCTTACTACACCTTTGATGCTTTGGACATTTGAATTTCGGCAAACTTTAACATCGTAACTGCCCCGAAATTCTTCTCTCTCATTTTGACACATTGAAACTTTGTCCCAAGTTGAAATTAAAATGTTTGTTTGGAAATTCCGTGTTCTCGCCCATAATTGTGAACATTCCATTCAATTTTCCGAGCTGGCTGGTACGCACAAAGCTTCTGTGCAAAGCCAAAAGTTCCTGTAGCAAACCCCGATCGTGCTCACACGGAGCGCACCAGTTTCACTCTCCAGCTTTCAACCCCCGCTAGCTGCGAGGCCCAAATCGTTGGTGCAGAAATGATGCGCCGCGGATTAATTTGCGACAAGTTGCAGGTCGGACAGTGAGAGGGATCGACAGAGGGAGACGCGTGACGGCTCCCGTCTCTTTACAAATGGTTGGGCGCCACCCTTAAATAGCCGGTAACGCGCACAATCAGATTCAATCGGGCCGGAACGGCACGAAAATCACCTCTTGTCGGAACGATAAATTAGCTCTGATGAGGTTTTTTCCTTTCTTGCCACACCGTTGAAATTAGTTTCGTGCAATGGCTTCAAAGAGTTTTCAAATTGATTGTAATAGCGTTCGTGTGCGAGTGGAATAAGGTCTTTTGCGGCGTGTTTAATGATGGAATTTAATGCGTCTCCTGGGAGTGATCGTGCTCTCGTATTTCCCAATTACGTAGAAAATGAGCTCATTGAAAATATTTATTTGAAAGAAAAAAATCAAAACAGAGCTCACATTTCTACAAAAAATAAAAAAGAACTAGAAAACAAATGAATATCACTGGAGAAAAATAATGAGCTCTATACAGAAATTTTTATTTTTAGAAAACGTTGAATATTGGCTGGTTTCCAATTCGCCATTACGTTATTCGTTTACGCATTACGTTGTTCGTTTTGCCAAGGAAATCGTATAAGCCGTTTCCAATTCACCAAAACGATACACGTAAACGGAATCCGAGTACAGCAAAACGTATAAGCGGTTTCCGATTCGCCAAAACGTACTCCGTAAACGTATTACGAGTGCCGACAGTGGTTTCCAATTCGCCAAAACGGACTCCGTAAACGTATTACGAGTGCCGACAGTGGTTTCCAATTCTCCAAAACGTAGTTCGTTTACGTGCAACTCATTACGAGCACCAAACGTGCTTCATACGTGATACGTACGTCGTTTTAATTAAAGTGCAATTCTGAATCATTATAATTGGTGCTAGTAATGAATTCTTAATTATCTCATCCATTTGAGTATTAAGTCGTTCAATTAGAGTTAATTTTCCCCCAATTAAGTTAATTCGGTTATGGGGGTGAGCAGGGGTGAGTTGAAGGAAATTAGTTTTATGTCAAGTGCGTAACATGATTATAGGCTAAAATTTTGTGAGGAAATCAATGGTGTATATGATTTTAATGAAAAATGTTAATTTCAACCCTTAATTAGCAATTAACTCAAATACAAACAAATTGAAGTGCAATACATGATTTTAGGGTAAAATTTGAAGCCCAAGCGATTGCCAGCATAAATTTTGCGCTATCAATTTAATTTCATCCCCTAAATTGAAATATAATGATGTTCACACAAATTTTAGAGCGAGACATGTTTAAATGGTAAAATTTGACGCCAGATCGTTTGCCAGAAGTTATTTTGCTATAAAAAATTAATTTCAACCCCTAATTTGAAATTACGTGAAATTAACAACAATTTCAGAGCGAGATATGTTTAAGTGGTAAATTTTGACGCCAGATCGTTTGCCAGAAGTGATTTTGCTCTAAAAATTTAATTTCAACCCCTAATTTGAAATTACGTGAAATTAACCACAATTTCAGAGCGAGATATGTTTAAGTGGTAAAATTTGACGCCATATTGTTTGCGAGAAGTGATTTTGCTCTAATAATTTAATTTCAACCCCTAATTTGAAATTACGTGAATTTAACAATAATTTAAGAGCGAGACTTGTTGATATGAGTAGAATTTAGCGAATTTAGAGCCACATTGATTGCCACACTTAACTAAAAAAAATCAAACATTAGTTAATAAATAAGAAATCAGGTGTTGAAATTAAAATTAAGCAAATTAAGTGCAAAATAACATTTGAAAATCGATCTAGCATTAAAATTACATTCATAAAACAACTATCGCTCTTAAATTGTTGTTAATTCCATAAAATTACGAATTAGGGGTTGAAAATGTATTAAGTAAGTAGAATTTTCCAAATTTTCCCTGGCAATCGGCCTGGCCTGGAAATCTACCAAGAAAAAATGTCTCGCTCTTAAATTGTTGTTAAATTCACGTAATTTCAAATTAGGGGTTGAAATTAAATTATTAGAGCAAAATCACTTCTCGCAAACAATATGGCGTCAAAATTTACCACTTAAACATATCTCGCTCTGAAATTGTGGTTAATTTCACGTAATTTCAAATTAGGGGTTGAAAATAAATTTTTAGAGCAAAATCACTTCTGGCAAACGATCTGGCGTCAAATTTTACCATTTAAACATGTCTCGCTCTAAAATTTGTGTGAACATCATTATATTTCAATTTAGGGGATGAAATTAAATTGATAGCGCAAAATTTATGCTGGCAATCGCTTGGGCTTCAAATTTTACCCTAAAATCATGTATTGCACTTCAATTTGTTTGTATTTGAGTTAATTGCTAATTAAGGGTTGAAATTAACATTTTTCATTAAAATCATATACACCATTGATTTCCTCACAAAATTTTAGCCTATAATCATGTTACGCACTTGACATAAAACTAATTTCCTTCAACTCACCCCTGCTCACCCCCATAACCGAATTAACTTAATTGGGGGAAAATTAACTCTAATTGAACGACTTAATACTCAAATGGATGAGATAATTAAGAATTCATTACAAGCAGTAATTATAATGATTCAGAATTGCACTTTAATTAAAACGACGTACGTATCACGTATGAAGCACGTTTGGTGCTCGTAATGAGTTACACGTAAACGAACTACGTTTTGGAGAATTGGAAACCACTGTCGGCACTCGTAATACGTTTACGGAGTCCGTTTTGGCGAATTGGAAACCACTGTCGGCACTCGTAATACGTTTACGGAGTACGTTTTGGCGAATCGGAAACCGCTTATACGTTTTGCTGTACTCGGATTCCGTTTACGTGTATCGTTTTGGTGAATTGGAAACGGCTTATACGATTTCCTTGGCAAAACGAACAACGTAATGCGTAAACGAATAACGTAATGGCGAATTGGAAACCAGCCATTATTGCGAGGAATCAAATCAATACAATATGGAAAACTTAATGAGCATTAAATTTAACAACTCCAGGTAGATTCTAATTTATTTATTTTTCATAATCATTAAAATATGACAAAGATGACTTTATTGATGCGATATAATGTCAAATATTTAAATTCTTTTACGCACTCTTTTATTCAAATAACGAAAACTTCATTACAACTTATATAAATTTGATTTTTTTTCCAAGCGCTTCATGGTATAAAAAAACTTGCTGTTCAGGAAAAAAAGTTTGCCTTACAAAAGTGTTCGGCGAACGACCAACTTAGTAATATTTCGTTCGCAAGAAAGCTGTCACCGTTTTTTATATATTTTTATACCTGCCCGCGCCGGCTGGCTCGCGATCGGAGGCAACGTTGTTGGAAAAGTAGGTAGGCAACCCGCTGGACCCGGCGGCTCGGCCGGCAGCATAACCGCCGATCCCCAGTTACCGTGAAAAGTTGCTCATAAATTGGTCGCCACTCTCCCGATTCGATTGCAGCCCTCAAGACTTGCGTGCAAACTCGATTTGCGGCTTTGCCGACTTCTAATCGACGTCAACTTTGCAAAATCAATTACCAACCACTTGTTTAGAACTCCCTTGGGGCCGCCGTCAAATTTGATTAATTGATTTTTTTACTATTTTGAGTGGAAAGTAAACAGATTGAATTGAGTCTGCGGGTCACGAATTTATTTCTCTCGAGATTTTATTTCGTCTTTCTTTTTTCTGGCGACAAGTATTTTGTCTGACTGACTGATTTTGTTCTCAGGACCCTCAAGCGAGCTACGACGTCAACAACCACGACGACGACCCCATGCCGAGATATGACATCCTGGACTCGAATCGCCACGGGACCAGATGCGCCGGCGAGGTGGCTGCCGTTGCAAACAACTCCATGTGCTCCGTGGGGATTGCCTTCGGGTCCAGCGTAGGAGGTAAATAACAAAAACCCTTCCCTAACAAGCTTTTAAAAATGGATCATCCAGTCAATTTATATCAAAATAACAGTCTTCAAATTACATAATTTTTCCACCGACGGAATTTTTCATTTTGAACGAACTTTTTCAATAATTTTTAGTGCAAAAGAAATAAATTTAACAAAATTAATTTCACTGAAAATAGCGACATTATACATAATTAAGAAAATCAATATTTTCCTGCATTTATTCACAAAATTCATTATATCTCAATAATTACAACACCATGACCAATAAAATGGAAATTAACAATGAAGTTGAAATGGAATGACTGCAAAATTTAAGTCCGTTTATTTAAAAGGCAACGAAACAGAATAGATAAGCATGGAAAATAAAAATGATAATGGAACCATTCTATCTTTAATTAGATCCCTGGTACAGAAAAGGTGCAGAACTGGTGTAGAACTAACGCAGATCAGCTGGACTGGTCCTGCACCATTTCTGTGCCATTTTTGCATGAGATCTGCACTAGTTAAAAATTTGAAAAATTTTGATATATAAAAAAATTTAAAATCCTGATTTTGATCTATTAAGAATAAAAAATATTATTTCAAAAGCACACCAAACAAATGTATTAATATAAAAACAAATTATAAACGCGATGACGGATGACCAGTAAAATAGAAATTGAAAATGAAGTTGAAATGAAATTACTGCAAAATTTAAGTCCGTTTATGTAAGAAGCAACGAAACAGAATAAATAAGCATGGAAAATAAAAATGATAATGGAACCATTCTATCTTTAATTAGATCCCTGGTACAAAAAGGTACAGAAAAGGTGCAGAACTGGTGTAGAACTGACGCAGATCAGATGGACTGGTCCTGCACCATTTCTGTACCATTTTTGCATGAGATCTGCACTAATTAAAAATTTGAAAAATTTTGTTATAAAAAAGATTTAAAATCCTGATTTTGATCTATTAAGAATAATAAATATTATTTCAAAAGCACACCAAACAAATGTATTAATATAAAAACAAATTATAAACGCGATGACGGATGACCAATAAAATAGAAATTGAAAATGAAGTGGAAATGGAATGACTGCAAAATCTAAGTCCGCTTACTTAAAAAGCAACGAAATAGAATAGATAAGCATGGAAAATAAAAATGTTAATGGAACCATTCTAACTTTTGTCCCCATTTTTTCATCTGTACTTTTCCCATGCACCAAACGCCAAATCAATCGCCAATAAGACGACCCAATTCTCGCCACACATCAAGCCAGCAGTTTTGCGTGACAAATTTGCAGCTTGTTAACCTTGCGTACGTCCCCGTGCAAAAGGGACTTGTCTGTGTTGGCCCAGCTCTGATTGTGTTTGTGGCGTCTAATTGAGTTGTGTTGCTCGGCAGGGGTGCGGATGCTGGACGGCGACGTGACCGACGCCGTGGAGGCGCGCTCGCTCAGCCTCAACCCGCAGCACATCGACATCTACAGCGCCTCGTGGGGCCCTGACGACGACGGCAAAACCGTCGACGGGCCCGGAGAGCTCGCCAGACGTGCCTTCATCGAGGGAGTGGCCAAGGTAGGACGCTAAATTTTATCAAGTTTTCACGCATTTTAATATTAAGATCAAAGGTATAAAAAAATTTAATATTTATAAAGAAAAAAAATAAGCTTGATAAGTGCAACTGTAACAAAATTTTTTACATCTTATTGGCATGTAATATTAAATTAAATGAAAAATATGAAAATATCTTTAAATTTAATTTATTTCTATTAAATTTTGTTTCCGTAGTGCTTAATTAAACTCATTTTTTTCACCTGAAATATTTTGAAATTTTACAATTTTGTATTAATTTTAATTAAGTTAAGCTTTCTGAATACCATTTTCCTTCTTGGATTTTTTTTTAGATTTTACTTTTGAAGAAATTAACTTAATTTAAAGCAATTTTGTATTAAAAACTGTGGTACATAAATAAGTTTGTTTAAATCTGGTCTCAACTACAAAAGGATATATTATAATTTTAATCAAATCAAGAGGAAAGAAACTATAGCACCTACTTGTTCAATTCAATCTGAATAATATTCTTGTCGTCATATATGATAAGGCAGAACTTTTGAAGCATAATAAGATTTTTATTTTAATAGTTAATATTAAATTTATTGAATTCAACCCAATAAAAATTATTCCAGAATGTATCTGCTAACAATACAATGAACCTTACAATAAACATATTAATCTGCAACTCGCCTCACATTAAATTTTGGTTTTGAGCAATGCACCCTGGAAACCATAAATATAATCATATTCATGAGGAATCCGCTTTCCGATTAAAGAGAATTCTAAGCCGCAAAATGTATTATTTGTTCTTGCAAGCAAATTCGTCCATCCCACGCCAGTGAATTTCAATTAAAAGTCAATAGAAATTCGCTGCCCGTGAGTCGGTCGGGCTTCTCGTCAAAAACCCTCGAGACCCTCGCGTCGGACCAAATTGCTCGGCTCCTGCTGTTTTCGCCTCTGCGCCCAAACAAGAGGTTCGTTTGTTAAACTCTCATGCGTCAAACTGCTCCGTCACGAATAAGCAATAGTTCGTCTCTAAACTTGACGTTTTGATGAGGTCCCTTTATTGGATTTGCGTCGCCCGATTTGCTTTAGGTTGCATTGACTCGGAAATCAATTTGGATTAGATTTTGATTGGACATCCGAGAAAATCGTAGTTTATTGGATTGTTTTTTCCTTAAAGAAGAATTTATGAGTTTGATTTAATATTAGGTTTTTTAGATGAAGAGATATTTGTGCCATTTATGCATTCAAAAAGTAGATTTTGACTAGATCCTGGCTAAAGGCGACTGACTGAGAATAAGAATGCTCACATAAATTTGAAAAAATGGCATAAACAATTATATATTTAAATTCAAAGTTAATAAACTAATTTTAAATACACTCAACTTAAAATGAACATAACCAAGAATTAAAAATGTTATTTAGGTTTTTTTAGCCTAATTAATTTTTCTCTTTTTTTTTATCCTCTATTTTTAAAATTTTTATCATTATTACCGTATTATACGTTGTCAAAATATAATAAATTAGGTAGAAATATGAGCATGCCAGAATTAAAGGTCTAGAATCTTTTACATGATAAATAGTTGAATAAATAATAAAAACTTATATAAACTGCAGTACAAGAAACAAAGCAAAAATATAAATTCATTAAAATAATTTCAAATACATAATGTCAAATTTCACAATACTTGAGTCTGATGTAAAGTTCGGAGCCCTCAGCATTATTCTCTAGTCAAATAATTCCATACCATCCAGATAGATTTGGTGAATCAACAGTCTTGATAATCCTGTCTGACTCTTGGTTTATAGAATTCGTGAATGACAAAGTTAATGGGCAGACTTGGAAGCTGTATTTCGTGATAAGTGCACGATAAATGCCTCCACAAACACAAAGCGGCGGCGTAATCACGCGGCGGCTTTTGCATCTGCGGCGGTTCGGTCCGGCCACAACGGGCGAACGAGGTCAAAGCAACGCGCACTTTTCATTTCATAATCAGATTAGCTGCGTGCCGGCCGCAGAAGCAAAAGATTAATTGTCATATGGAGAGCAGATCAAAGGGCGGTGCGTTGCCCGTTCGCGTTTGACTCGACGAATTAATTATTAAAAGTGTTCGCGGGGCTTCGAAAGCCGCCGTGAAAATTTCATACATCAAAACGGGGGCAGTGCCAAAGGGGCTCGGACATGAATTGTGGCGTAATTAAAGTATTAATATTAACTGAATCCTTGTTGCCGGTGCTCGCTTGCAGTAATTAGCGTTGTGTCCGTTTCAGAGAGTCTGTTTTGCTGCTGGCATGACTGTAGCAATGTTAATTTGTTAATTGATTATCTGCGATAAAATTCCACGGAAATTTGAATGCAGGATTAATTCAACTTTTGATTAAATTCGTACAAACAAAGTTTGAGATTCAATAATTAATTACCTCTGTGTGTGGACATCAAAGCTGAATTGAAAGTGGGAATTCTGAAATTTTAAATTAAAGAAAAATATCTGATTAAAAATCAAATTAAATATCCCAAAAACAGCAATAAGTTTAATTTAATAAGCAATACCCCCAAAACTACCAACAATTAATTATAATTTTATATCCATTAGAGCTCTCTGCTTGAGTAAAAAAATTGTTCCCAATCGTAACGCTTCGTACAATTATAATTTGCTCTGATTGTTGAAACGAAACTTTAATCTGTTTTCTTTCTGATTTTAGCTGAATTAGGAATGATTATTGAATTTTTTTTAAAATGCGACTTTGATCATTTGTAATTAAAAATTTCTTGCCCAAATTCAATTTTTAATTCAATCTCTGCCATTTTATTTTTAGGGCCGCAGCGGCAAAGGTTCCATTTTTGTGTGGGCGTCGGGCAACGGTGGCCGCGACCACGACAACTGCAACTGCGACGGCTACACCAACTCGATCTGGACGTTGTCGATCAGCAGCGCGACCGAAAACGGCCTGGTGCCGTGGTACTCGGAGGCGTGCAGCTCCACCCTGGCCACCACTTACAGCAGCGGGCTGGCCAACGAGCGGCAAATCATGACCACCGATCTGCACCACCAGTGCACCACCAGCCACACGGGCACCTCGGCCTCGGCGCCGCTGGCCGCCGGCATCTGCGCCCTGGCCCTCGAGGCCAACCGGATGCTCACCTGGCGCGACATGCAGCACATCGTGGTGCGCACGGCTCGCTCTGAGAATCTGCACGCCCCTGACTGGAAGACCAACGCTGTAGGCAGAAATGGTGAGTTATTTTATATCTTCAACTGAACCTTTTTTTATTTTAATATTGAAATATTGCAACTAAAACGGTTATTTAAAGCAATAGTCTGGATTAATTTAAGGTAAAAATAGGTGATTTTAGGCGAATAATGAGTCAAGATAGAAAAATTGGTAACATTGAAACTGATTGAAACCTAATTGTCAGATCAGGACATAACTTTAATTAGTTTAAAACTCGAAAAGAAATTTTAAAATCTGATATGTAATGAAAAACCTGATTACATAATTCACCTATGAGTGAAAATAAAACATACTTAGAGATTTTTTGCCCTTAATCACCAGTTTTGAATTATAAAAATTGATCTAAATCATCTATTTTAGAAGATTCGGTGATTAAATATGAAACACATTTTTTAACATCCTTAGACGCCAAATATTTATCTTCTTTTGAATTTTGTTTCACCGAAGATCACCTATTTTAGCTGGAAAAAAAATCACATTTTTACTATCCTGGGTATACCTAATTATTACGTTTTATTAATCCATTTATTTATTCTAAACTAATTTTAAGTAACCTTTATTGAAATTATGCTGCGTATTATATTAAATTCCGTTTTACTTCAATAAATTCATTGTAGCTCTGATGTACAAAATATTTTAAGAATTTTATAAAAATTTAATTTTTTCTCATTTAAAACTTTTAAATATTATTCGTGAATAAATGTAAACAAACTATGAAGTTTGTTGCCCCTATCTAAATATATTCCTATAATAAATTCCTATTTTCTGGGGAGCGCTTTTGCACTTTTTGTTAGAAAATTCGCTCGCTGCTGGCAAACCTGCTAATTAGGTTACACTTCGCGCCGTTTTTGCATAAATTAATTTTTCTCGGTTCGCAGAGTGAGCGCGAGCACAACAACTTGTTTACTTTTAATCCTCTCATGAAATTGCATAAAAGTTGGCGCTCGACTTTGCATCGCAAATGACCAACTTATGCAAAATAACGCGAAGGAGCGCCAAATACCAGCAGGCGTCCCTCTCGCATAAAACGAAATCGCTCAGACAATAAACGAATAGATTTTTTTTAAATTTATTTTTTCCAGTGAGCCACTCGTTTGGATATGGGTTAATGGATGCAGCGGCCATGGTGAAATTAGCAAAGAAGTGGGTGACAGTTCCGGAGCAGCAGCGCTGTGAAATTATTGCCAAGAACGCCGAGAAGTAAGACAATCACAAAAGGCGCAAAAAGCAGGCCAACTAATTTCGTATTCCAGACTCATCCCGGCCAAAAGTCAAGTGAATATCAAGCTGAGGGTCAGAGAGTGTCCCGGCGTCAATTTCCTCGAGCATGTGCAAGTGAGTATTGCTCCATTTTAATCAATAGATTTACTTATTTTGCGTGTCGGCGGAAAAGTTTGAAACGAAACGTGTCGCGTTTTATTGAGATTTGTTGTGTCTGCTCTCGCGACGGAAACACGCGCTCATGAAATATTCATGCTTATTTGGCTACAATTTCCTCGGCCGTGTGCACAAAGTGCCGCGCAGTTGCTTCTTCTTTCTACTTCTTTTGGGTCGCGAGCACAGAGATGAGCAAACACTACATCATATCCATTTGAATAATGTGAAAATTTAAGCAGACATTTGGCGGTGCGACGAATCCAAATTTTTAGTGCTGGCTTTTGGATCTATTTTTCTGCAAATGGGGCGGAAGAAAAATTGTTTCCGCTATCAAATAGTTGAATATAAATAACAATTTTCGACTCTCAACTGATTTTTTATATCATTACAAAGATAATTATCCAATTCATAGTTTGTGAAATGAATTAATTTGAAATATATATAAACCATGTAAACTAATAAGTTACATATTATTTTAAATATCATAAAAAAATATTATTGAAATTAAAAATTTTTAAGTGTTCCGTCCAAAACCTCTAACAAACAGTATGAATTAATTTCTGTTGAGATTTAAAATAATAATAAAATAATAAATAATTAGATATTAATTATATGTTCATTGTAACACAATTTTAAAGTTTTCAAACCTAGGTTGCATTAAATGCTTTGAATCTCTATGAAAATTTGTAATAATGATATTATATTATATTTATATTTTTCTTTTAAAACTCATTGATTGGCCAAGTTGAGCTATTTATAAAACAGTTTATTTTTATTTTATTTTTTTTAATTCTGAACTTATTTTTGCTGTATTTAAAACAAAAAATTTGAATGCTTTAAATCCTTTTGACTCAGTGCATTTTCCTCCACAATTTGCTTACTAATTGTTGTCTGCTGTGTGCGTTTCACAGGCGAAAATCACGCTGACAACAAGCAGGAGGGGTGATCTGCAAATCCACCTCACTTCGCCCGGGGGCACGCGCTCAACCCTGCTGGACAGGCGGCGACTGGACGTGTCGCGGGCGGGCTTCAACCGGTGGCCCTTCATGACGGTGCACAGCTGGGGTGAAACGCCCGTCGGCATCTGGCAGCTCGAGATCCACAACGAAGGCCGCTACTTAGGTGCGTGTTGGCCGCAGGGCCTGCAGCTTTTGTCTAACAACGGGTGCTTTGTGAGCCTCTAACAGCACCCTTAAGCACCCCGGCTCATTTGACTAACTCACCCTCATCAGTCATACATACTTGGTGACGGGCCATCTCTAGGACAGTGAAAACCAAAATAGAATCCCTTTGAAGTTCATTTTGATTTACGCTCCTCACAACTCACAACTGATTCATTTACAATTTAAATAAATTATTGTTTACGTTTCTTTTGCTAGTATATATCGGTATATATCAAGATAAAACTAAACTATATATTTAGAGAACAAAAAATAATAATACCAATGAAATCTGTTTTTTATTTTTTTATTTTTTATTATTGTATTATAAAAAATTTTTTAATTATCATTTTTTTAAATTTCTTGCAATAATTTATTTATTTTTAAATTAAATTAAAATATTTAATTTGTTTCTTTAATTTTTCTTTTATGACACTTTTACACTTAATTTAATTTTTCATATTTATTTATTAAAAATAATATATATTTATGCTCTTCACTTAAATATCAACAGAAAGAATCAAGTTGAGGTAGCTTGAATGTTGAAGAGACTACTTTTTAGCTGGAATTAATTAGAAATTTGAACATTTAAAGATTATAAATCATCTTCAATAATCATAATTCCAATGCATCAAATTCATTGAGAAATGAATGAAACCTTCAAATCACTTTTTACAAAATTTTCACTGCCCTTTTTCAAAACTGGTGTTGTTTCATTTTGCTCCTCTGTGGCATGCAGGCCGCGCCGTTCTTCGCGAGTGGTCACTCGTGCTGCACGGCACCACCGACTCGCCCGACTCGACGTCCAAAAAGAAAAACCCTACCCTGACCCCCACGTCCCCATCCTCTCCCAAGGTCAAGGTTGGCGGCGGTAACGTCGGCCAGCTGCAAAAGCAGCCGCGCAAAAAGGGCGGCAACCCCTCCAAGCAGGGGCGCAAGAGCACCATCGTGCCGCCCATGCCCTCCCTCCGACCCCGCACCACCCCCTACCCTCGGGCGTCCAGCGCCAAGCTGGGCCGCTTTCCTAGCACCACCCAGGCCCCCAGGCGCCAGGAAATCATTTACCCTGAGCTGGGCGGTCAGCAATTTTCAGCCCACTCGCCCAACCTGACCTTTGGCAAACCCCTCTCCGCCCTTCTGTCCAAGTTCGTCTACCCCTCGTTCACGCGGCCCAAGGAAAGCAGACAAGGGCCCAAAAGCAGGCCACCTGAAAACATTTACGCGGCCGCCCTCCGACCTGGCGGCGGCGGCGGTCTACCCACCAAAGGGCTCGACTTGCGTCAAGACCCACAGCAGAAAAACGCGCCAGCAGCCAACAAGGGTATCTGCGTGGACCTCAACTCTCAGCATGGCCTTTTTCAATTTTCCGTTTTTATTTTCAGCGTGTTTATTTTGCTTTTGCATGGAAATTCTAACTTTTTGGTGCATGAAAATATCAAAATATGTACATTTTTATTTTAACTAACGCACAATTTCAGCATGAATGGCGGCTGAATCAAAATTTGCCAACATCTGAAAAACTTTCCAAGTAGTTGCGCAGCGCAGAGTAGTTTATAATTTGTAATTTATTGTGTTTTAAAAAGTGGAAAATCATTTAAAAATTCCACGATTCAGTATGAAAAAACTATTAGATTGCAATATTAAGGTTCACATATTTTTAGAAATTTTTGGTAAGGTACAATTTCTTTTGATTTACTTTGCTCATCTAAATTCTGCTAATGTAAAGTAAAGATGCATCTAACGTTCACATAGAGCATGACATTTTTCTTTTATAGATGAAAGAGAGAAAATTTTCTTTATTGGATAAAAAGAGAAACTTTTACCTTTTTTACTGCGCACCTACTATTTATTGGCATCGCACATTTAGAATCTAAATTTCCGCTTAGCCTGAAATAAACATTCCTAATTTTTCTCCTTTTTTAAATTGTAGCAAACCTCTCAGCCTGGGAGCTGAGCCTGCACGGCACCTACGACCTTCCGGACGACGGCGGCCAGGGCCATTTGCTGCACGACAGCCTGGAAGAAGAGCCGACTGAGAAGGAGGTCAAGCCGCTGGGCAACAACCTGAAAAACCGTGAGACACCGAGTCTGAATGCAACGAGTCGGCCGACCAACTCGAGCCGCCTGCTGGTGACGGCCAAGCCGCGGCCTATTGAGGAGGAGGCGCAGGTGGGGCCGGCGCGGCTGTCGCCCAACCTGACGAACAGTGCCGAAGGGTGCATAAATAGTGAAGCCAACATGTGCTTAGGTTTGTTGACTCTCTTGCTTCTCGCTTCCAGACGGAATTATTTGGATTGATTGATTGACTCTGGGCTGCCTAAATGTTAAACATATGTTTCACTCTCACAAGTAATGTGCTGCTGTCCTCATTTTAATCTCTAAAAATTGATTTACCTCAAGAGATGCATAATATATAATATAATATGAATTCGTTTTAAGGAGGGACCTCTGATAAAGTCAAAGCAGGCCATTGTCACTGTATAATGTGGTGTCAAAAAACGGGGCACTGTATTACGTCCCTCTTTTCTCCATGATTTTTGGCAGAATGTGCAATTTCGAACGCAATTGGTCAGGCCATTTTTTAGCAGTGGACCCTCCTTAAGGAGCAACACTGCCATATAATAACTGTAGCTGCTGCGATTTTCTTGAAAGCGCCACATTTTTCCCTCGGATAAAATAAGGATAAGAGCTGGAAGAGTTAAGTTGTGTTTCTCAAATTCCAAAAACACTCCAAATTTTGCTTGAAGAAATCTGTGTTTACACATTTTAACCAAAATTATAGATGAAATGATCTCGTCAATAAGAATAATTTATTTTTGTATTTCCCACTCTTCCAGTCTGAATCTGTTGAAATTTAATTTTCCCTTAGCTCGAGGTTCAAGCAAATATGGTTTTCGTGCTCTTTTTATCATCAGCTACAGAGTATTTTTTCTGCTACGCAAATTCCGACAAGAAAATCATGTGAATGCTGACAACACCAAAGAGCCTTAAAATTTAATTTAACTGTAGTTTCTCATTTGATCAATCAAAGTGTGAATAATATTTATAAACAAATTATTCGCATCGATGTGCACACATTTCGAAAGCAGAAATTATTGTGGGTCAACTAGCTGGGATTATTTTGAACAAGAGTATTATATAGAAACGTAAAACTTAATTTTTGCAAGTGGTCCGTTTTTTATCGACCAAAACTGTATTTATTTCAGGGAGGATTAGGTTTTTGCTTTAGGCTGCTTTACTCTTTTAACTTGTGGCCTGTTGGATTAATTTTTATAGGAATTAAATTTTATTTCAAATTGAAAGTTTATCACAAAATTCAACACGGAGGTGGAAATTTATTATTAAATAATGAAAAAAAAAATGCAATAATCATGATCAAATTAACGAAAGGGAGAAGAACGCGCGCAATTGAAAAGGCGCTTGGTTTGATGAAAAAATATAGCTAAACCACTTTGGGACCAATTAAATGTGTAGAACTTAAAATGTAATCGCAATTTTTCTTTTATCATTGTGCAATTGAGATGCATTACTCATGTGCACACGGGATAATATTCTCATGGAGTGTATATTTTAACGTTACAAATTTAAATTATTTTCAAGCTTAATAAGTAATATTATTTTGAATTCTCATTATAATTGAAGAATTAGTCCGACAGTAAAAATGTAGACGTACTGCAATGGGTGACCCAACGCTGCAAAAATGGTGCCGCACAAGTTGAAATCTCCTGTAATCTGTGATTTCATAGATATGCTATGTAACATAAAAGGCGAGATGTTATTATAATTAATACTTTATTACAAAATATGGAGAGCGAAGTAAAAATATATATATTATGAGAGCTGAGAATAAAACAACCAGACGCAAATGATTGTGGAATGAAGCGAGAAAAGATAAAGGCACAAGGTGATTCCGACTGATCAACTAAATAATTATATAATATTAAACCAGCATGATGATGGAACTAATAAACGAATAGTGTGCCAATCCAAATACACACACTTTATTATTCACACAGAAATTCTCACGGCCAGTCTTAATATTGACGAAACAGCTTTATATGGGCAGCCGAAAGAGTTGATTTATTTCATTAAAAGTAATTTTGATTGTGTACATTGATGATAAAAAAGGCAGAAATTGATGATCGCAAGTAAATAATGATCACGTACGATGAATTCGTGACTTTTTGATAATGTGGTGCGCGGACAAGTGTGCGAGATGAAATAAGTGTGACGATATATTTACAGTGGTGTAGCGTCGGCGTTCAGTGTGCAACAATTAAGAAACCTCTACGCAAAATGACAAAAATAATTTTCAATGTTGAATATGAGAAAAGTGCCAATCTACGAGATACACACAACACACACGAGATAGTACTTATAGCGTCGTTTAGAGAAATTAAAACAAGACGTAGATGACGAAATTAGGATAATGTCCGATAATGTATAAATTTTGCAACTTGATGAACAGTATTATTCTTGTTTCGGACTGCGTGTGTGTGTACATAAGAAAGCATTTTGACATTTTTAAATGTGCAGCGTGTATTATATAAAAATTGTAAATATTATAAAACTGAGAAAAAGCAACTTCGCTGAAATGTTGAATGATTTTGGACGCTCGGCATTATATATTAATTGTTTTGCGTGCGAAGGAATAAAAAAAATATGAAATTGAATACTTTGTGGTGATGAGTAAGAGAGATTAATTGAAGAAGCTGACATATCGAGGACTCAGAATGGCTAATTCAATAAAGTGGATCACAAACAAACTAACATACATTGTGTGATTTTCCGTCCTTGTCGAAACTGTTTTTTTCCCGTTACTTGTCATTGTCTTTTTTACTCCACATATTTTTTTTCGTTTACATTGATGCACCACTGGGTTCCCCAAAAATTCACAAAACTATCTTATCACAAAATGGTTTTAAAATTGTTTGCACCCAAAATCCCAAACTGCTCATCTGCAAAAATTTGAGATTTTGTACAAAATGCGAGATGGCAGTCAAGTTTTATAGCTCCCGAGAGGCGGTGAAGGGCAAAACTAGCTTCGCGCGGTCTTCCACTAACGCTTCGGAGGTCGACCAGCAGGGTGAGAGTCCACAGTTTTCTTGTCTTGTGTTTTCTGGTGGCTTCAATTTACCCTTTACTGCTTATGCCGCACCTATTTGCATGCATAGATAAAAAAAAATCGTGCTGTTGGTTTTCTGTTTGTAAAAAAAATTAACCCGCATCCACCTGTTATTAAATTTACTTTTTAAGAATTGTGTAATGAAAAAAAAATAATAATTTCCTGACTATTTATTTTATTATTCAAAATAAGTATTTAAAGACAATTTTTATTCTGATGAGATTATTAATGAAAATCAATTTTTCAGAATGCATGGACACGTATGTGGCGTACCAGGGCCAGTGTCTGCAAGAGTGTCCCATGGACACGTTCATCAGCCTGTCCAACAAAGGCAAACCAAACTGCCGAGATTGTCACTACTCATGTTCGCAGTGCAAAGGCCCTCTGAGCAGCCACTGCCTTGGTTGCCATCCGGACGCCCGTCTTCGCCGGGACGGCACCTGCCTCCTGATTGCCCTCGACCCGGTGGTCAACGAGGCGCGCTGGTACTACTGGCTGATGATAGCCTTTGTGGCCAACGTGGCCCTCATCGGCGTGGCTGCTTTCATCTTCATCGCCGCCTGGTGGCAGAGCAGACACGTCAAGCACGAGTACGAGGGTCTGCAGCCCCCTCGGGAGTCCATCCACACCGGCGTCTACCTCTCCAGCGACGAGGACTAATTTTTTTGTAATTAAAAATTGCAGTACAAATGTGATCAAGCAAACTGTTATTTTAAAATTCCAATAGGAGTTTTCCCAGGAAAAAAAATAATACTGGCTCAAAAAGTGGATATTAATAATTTTAATTAAAAAAAGAAGAAATGCAGAGATTTCGAAATGATCAATTTTTGTAATCAATTTTTAAAGATGCATAGCAACTTATTGACTGAAATTCAAATACAACAATTGTTACTTGCTCGACTGCCGCAGTGCCCTAGTCAGTCTGTGATAAATACCCAGCAGAAGAGTCGGCACTTCAAAGTTTGGCATTTAAAATTTTTGTAACTGATTTCTAAGTTGCGATGTGGGGTGGATAATGGGGTTTGGAAATGGTGCAAACACACACAAAAGTGTTCCTTGGTAACGTGTGTATAGAATATATATTTTGACAATAAAAACAAGATTACAATGTATAAATGCAGACAATATCATTTAAGTTACAATAAGTGTGATGGAAGTATATATTAAATTTTTGTGCAAAATACGAATTTGAAAAATACCAATAGCTTTCTAGTCAGTCATTCTGCAAAAGGCTGTTTGTGTCACAAGCTCCGTTTTATCCAGGCTTCCAGATCTGCCAAAAAGTTTGTGATGTCTTCAGAACTGCCATTGTTGTAGACTTGCCAGCTCCAGTCGGTAACGTCGTCCAAATCGCACTCAGAAGCCACATCGTCAACACCTGCATTTGGAATTATAAAAAATTAAATTGAATATTTTATTAAAGGCAAACAAAAATTTACCTGCAGTGAACTTCCAACCTCGTTTCATACGGATCTGATCATCAGCAAAAACACGAACAGTTCTCACAATATCACCATAGTTTTCTCCAAACCATTTTAAGTCAGATTTCCGACGAGCGTCACTTACAATCCACACAGGTTTGTTTAATCCTGAAAAATTTAAAGGATTGATTTTGTGTGAAAAAATATTGATTTGCGTAAAATATGTCACCTTTGGCATTTTCAGCGGCGCTTCTGCAAAAAATGCCATAGTCTCTGGCCCGCTCCTTCTCGCTCCATTCAATCATGGCCAGTCGGTGCTGCTCTTTGTAGGCTGTCGCATCGAGCAGTTGGTCTAAATCTAAATTGTGCAGTTCGGCCCAGTGCTTCTTGATCGGCGCAGATATTCTTACAATTGTGGCAGCATCGTTTCCTAGACTGGAAAAATGGGATTTAAAATAATAATAATCTCAAAATAATGTAACCATTGCTTACTTTTCAATTAATTTCTCGGTAATAAAATCCTTGCCACTTTTCCTTTTTCCACTGAAAATTACAACACACTTTGGATCCATAGGGTTTATTTAAAACGAAAAAAATATTCAAAATAAATTTGTAAACAAAATAGAGATCGTGATGAAAATATGGGCGTTCCGTCAAAAGAAACAAAACACATAACAAAGAGCGCAGTCACGCCCACTTCTATGTTGTCTTTTTACTTTTTTTGTCTTTCGGCACTTTGGTGACTTTGGTAGTGAAATAATATTTAACTTTCAGAGTGCAATTTACTCTCGAATTTCACATGAGTGAAGGAAAAACTGCAAAGGGCGCTGACCCTGCAGCATTCAGGATGCTGTACGAGGGCAGAAATTTGATATCAGAGCGACCAGTCGTCGTGCTGGACATCGGGAAAGCCTACACCAAGTGAGAGAATAAGCCGGCCAGTTTTGATTCGCATGAAAATAATATTTGATTTATTTTAATGCTTCGATTTTAATAAAGCAGCTAATATTTTTTTCTCAAATTGCAGGTGTGGTTTTGCAGGAGAGAGTGGCCCGAGATGCATTATTCCGACTGAGTTTCAATGCAAAGCGACTGGAATTACCTTGAAAGTTTTTGATTACAAAACCCCCGATCAATTGTTCCAAAATTTAGTCGACTTTGTCCACATTCTTTTCTTCAAGTACGATTTTTTTTTATTCTGAATAATTAATTTTATATTAATCACTTTGTTGGTATTTCATAGGTATTTGCTGGTCACACCCAAGGACAGGAAAGTGGTGATAGTTGAGTCCTTATTAAGCCCTTCTATAGAGAGGGACACTTTGGCGAAAGTGCTTTTTAATTATTATGAGGTAACTATTTAAATTAATTAAAATAAATAAGTAAATAAAATTTAAATAAATTAGAACTATTTAATGTAAAATTCATTAAAACCTGAAAAAGTTAAATAAATTTAAACTCCAAGAAAATAGAAATTTTATTATTTATTCACTCCAAGTGTAATCCAGTAAACATGAAGCACTATATTGATATTTTCTTTTAATTTTTAGTTGGCTTCCGTTTGCTTGGTGCCAAGCCACATGGTCAGTTTATACACCTTGGCTGTTCCGACCGCACTGGTACTCGACATCGGCTACAAAGAGGCCATTCTCATCCCTGTTGTAGAAAACACACCTGTCCTGCATGCATACCAGGCACTTGCTTTTGCAGGAGAAGCAGTTGAGAAGTAATTCTTTGCATAATCAATTTTTATTAAATTTTAAAGCATTAACTTCTTTCAGTAATCTTAAGAAATTGCTTGAATCTCAGTGCAAGGAGGAGGAACAATTTTATTTGAAAGCAAAGCCCCTGCCGAGCAGCACAATTGAAGACATTAAAGGTGTGATAAGCTTAATTTTAATATAAAAAAGCATTTTAAATTTTTAAGATTTTTCACTGAAAACTTCATTATTAGAATGGATAAGTTCTAATTTCCTATTTGTATTTTCAGTTCGAGGTTGTTTTGTGACTAGACTGGACCGAGCACAAATGATCCAGGCGTCTCTCAAAGAACCATCTGTGACAGCACCGAAGCCTCCACCTGAACTAGTTTATCCCCTTGGAGGTGAAAGGAGCATCACAGTGCCCGGAACAGCCAGGGAGTTGGCCTACGAAGTTCTCTTTGAGCTCGACAACGACCTGATGTCAATTGCCACAATGATTTTGGATGCTATTTTGAAGGTATAATAAATTCCTTTGATTTCAAGTTGCAATAAAATTTAAATGACAACCTACACTATTTCCCAGTGCCCTGTTGACACTCGTGTTCCTCTTGCGGAGAACATTGTTTTGATTGGCGGCACTTCAATGGCTCTCGGATTGAAGGCCAGACTGCAACAAGAGCTACAGGACCTCCTTGTCACTCCCCAATACATAAAAAAATTGGCGCTAAAGACATTCTGCTTCCATTCTCCTCCTGCGAAAGAAAACTATGTTGCCTGGCTCGGAGGTAAGCCTTGATTTTGCGAAACTATCCTGGACCTCAAAACCTTTTCCGTAGGAGCCATCATGGGAGCAACCAACAGCATCGTCAAGAGGTCAGTCTTGAAGGAGGACTATCAGAAATTGCCCAAGATCCCTGACTGGGCCGACTTGTCATTCAACTGTCAAGACAGCACTAAGAGAGGCTAACTTAAACAAGTACGGGCTATTTATTGTTTACTCCAGCTATTTATTATTTCATTACATCTTCAAATTATATTTCACAAAATAATATGTTTACTCTCAACCAAAACTTCTTGCGTTCTTATTCCTATGAACTAATGCATGCACCTTATTCTGTTGGTGTTGGCCAACGACCTGTGCCCATTGGATTGTCTAATTTGTAAGGGAACAGGTATGGGTCACCTTTATTTCCTCCATAGTAGATTCGAAGTGAATCGTATGTATAGTGAAGGCTAATGAACCTTTTGATGTAGAGAAAAACTTCCTCCATCTTTGGCACCTTCACCTTCAGGAACATGTCTTGAGCTTTCAGGCATTGTTGCAAGTGCACCTTGCTGACAATAGAGTTGATGTCCTTGGCAGAAAGGGCATCCTCAGCAAAAATCCAGTCGGCCATAGGCACCATGACCGTTCTTAAACTAGGATTGTTTTGGAAGATTCTCTCAGATTTGATGGTCTTTGGTGCCCACCTAAAAGATTTAAACAAATTATTAAATAGTTTCTTAATTCTTTCCCCAAAACTTGACCCATTGATGCTAGATCTGTGCATTGCAAAAATGTAAAACGATTAGATGCGACTGTTGTTTGAGTTCTCTTATTGGGCAAAAGTATTCAAATCCAATCAAAATGCTTGACAACAACCCACATTAATTTGAATTAATGTAACTTGCGGATGTTACATAGAGGTAAATTTAATAATAATAATAAGAACAAAATTAAGAGAAGTTCCCCGGTGTAGATATTGAAATATCCACGTTCTGCGGTTCTAGAGCTAAATTAAATCGTGGGAACCATTGCTTTTAACCTAAATTGAAATTAAATTAAACAATATATAAATTATTCTATTTCTCACCCATTTCCACAAGATTCACACTTGCAGTGGAAGTTATACTGGTGCATAAGTTGCTCTCGTCTATCTGCCACGCTTTCTAGGGCACAGTTATCAATATAATTTGTTGAAATTGGTTCCCCTTTACGAATTGGTCTGTAGGCTAAAGCCACATGAGTCTTCATATAGTTGACGCCAATAACGTTTGGGGAGCAACTATGAATGATGCGAGCTGCGTGCTTGTTCAATCCCCAACCAATGCTGAAAAAGTTGTTTTTGTATTCAGTTTCAGCCTGAAACAAATTCCAAAATTAAGAGTTTTGTTTAGTAGGTAATAAGTAGTTTTGTACTTGGAGCTGAGGGATGCTGATGCTATAGGTGTTCCTTTTGTACACCATCAATGACAAGACCATAAACTCGGCCAGCTTGATCCTCTTCCAACCACTAAGGCCAAAACATAGTGAGGCCAAATTCAACGCAAGGCGTCTTGTACTATCAACCGTCTCCATTGCGTAAAATGCTGGTGGTAAGCTGAGGAAGTCTTTCATTTTCTTTGGGGCAGACTCTGGGTTAATCATGGCTGCGATGCAAACATCCACTCCAAAGGTTGCCACGAATCTCACACAAGTGACCACCATGATGCTGTTGGTTGTGTAATCTTCACGGTGACGCAACTTGTCGAAGGTGCTGCGGGCTTTGCATTCAATTTCATGGTAATTTTTCCAGGCCTCCTTTTTGCATTCATTACTGCAGAACATTGCCTGTATGAAATAGTTTGTTTAATATAAGCTGGATGAAAAAAATTACACTAACAAATGAGCAGTGGTCACAGGGTGACAAAGTGAAACATAGTTTGAAACAGTGGAAGCAGTGAGTGAAGCTTGTGACAAACTCGTTCATTTCTCGGTTCCTCTTTTCCACCAAGCCACACACCAAAGGCTCCTCGACGAACAGTACTTCCCCTATATAAAAATATTATAAAGATCGAGTCATTAAAATTCTTTAATATTTAAAATTCCTTTCTCACCTGTCTGAATATTTCTTTTGGCTACAAAATGCTGTCCATAATTGGAATTCTCCTTAATGCACAAAGCAGCCGAAACCCCTGGCATGTCTCTTCGCGAGCCATCGCTTAGGTTTGGGGGCTTCTTGAACTCAATTCGAATTATGTTGCTTTGTGGTTTTGTTGACTTTTCATACTCCTGCTTCAAATTGGCAAGAGCAGCCTCCCTTTTAGCTGCGGCCACTTTTTCCTGGATACATGTCTGGCTCATGAAATAATATTCTTCAGCCAACTGCTTGTTCTTCGTGGCCTTGTAACAAACCGCCAGTCTTTGGTACAACTTGTACTTCAGCTCGTCAGGATAGTTCATCGACAGCGCAAGTTTGACATCGGAAATGCATTCCTTGAAAAAGCCTAGCGCTGCGTGAACGGCGCTCCTATTTGCAACAGCCAAACTTGCGTCCCTCGGACGTCCTTTTGCCAAGGCGTAGGCCTTCGAGTAGCTGCTGATTGCTTGGTAATATTGCTGTCGTCTGTAGAAGTTGTTGCCTTCCTCTCGGCATTCTTCAGAAGTTTGAGGATCCCTTGAATCGTTGCTGAGGAAGCCTCCTGACAAGAAACTCTGCAATGTCGCTCCACTGAGGGCTTTCTTTGCGGCCTTCACGTAGTCCTGCTGATCGCCCCTTTCCGTGCAACTCATTATTTTTGTATAAAACAACTGGAAAAGGAAAATGTCGTTAGAATTTGTAAAAGAAAAAACCGGTGCCAAAATTTTGTGTGCAAGGGCAAGGCGATATGAGATAATATAGTGGTGTTAAATTATGTATAAACAAAAATAAATATAGTAATAAAATAGCCATGAATCTTCGCCTACATCAGAGGCTGATAGGGCCAACAGAATAACAGATAGAGCGAGGATAAAATAAAAGCTGAGTAAAAGGATCTCTATGGCCACCACGAAAACCCTTGCGAGAAGCACACCTGATGCCCTCTGTGAAAGTCTGAAAGTGTTAAATAAAAACGGCCAATCTGACGGTGCTGCTTATGACTGCCTTTGGCGGAAGAAAGCATGCACTATTTTCTTGTTGTTTTGGGATCTAACAACAAAAATTTGGTATTGTTGTATGGATATAAGAACTATACACATTGTTGAAAACTAGATAAAAACACAAGAAACAAATGATCAACTCTGCCAGTCTGCCAAGTTTTCTCACCAAGGTTGGACGTGTTGGCTGTTGGAAAAATGCCGTTGTGGAATGCTTGGTTTGGAAAAAAGCCTGGAACTACAGGAAAAACTCCAGAAGATGCCCAAAGTTGAGGACAAAGAGGTTAGATAAAAATTAATTATGGTAGTTTTGATTGTTTTTTTGTCACATAAAGAGCGTTTTGTACGTCTAAATACAAAGAATTTTTTGAATTTGAAATAATTCTTTTATAAAAATTTTAATTTTGAGTGATTTTTTTTTTGGAAATGCTTCCACGGATTTATTCAAATTTGAATGTTTATCAAGAGATTTGTTGGACTTTCAAGAAAATTGTCTGATTATCGAAACTTTTTCAAGATGACTTGCATATGATATTATATGTTTATAAATAAAAATTATTTTGCTTTATGAATTTAAAAAAAAAATTATGCTTATTATCTGCTTAGAATTATTAAAAATCCAAAAACAAAATGAAAAATAAAGAATTTATTGTGTTTCAAAAAATTCTTTTGAATAGATATTGATTTTTATTCTTTTTAAGCCCGTTACAAAATTCTGTATTAAAATGAATTTTTTTATGATTCGAAATATTCCTTTTGGAAGTTTTTTTTTGCAGTTAATGATGAGTATTGAAAAATTTAAGCATCACAAAATTTCTAAAAATTCCCTTAGTGATGTATCACAAAAGGAGCTAAAAATGATCGATTTTTTTTATCGCAGAATTCAGATCTCATTTATGAAATTTTTTAATTCAAATGAATATTTATAAATTCTTCCAGGAATTCATTGAAATTTGATATTAATCAAAAGAAAATTGTCTGCAATTTGGAAACTTTTTTCAAGATGACATGCAAATTATATGTTTCTAAATAATAAAAAATATGATTTTATGAACTTGAAAAAAATCATTTTTTAAACTGCTTAGGATTATTATAATTCTGAAAATAAATTGACAATTAAAAGAATTTCTTGTGTTTCGAAAAATTCTTTGAATAGGTTCATTTTTATCATTGTTAAGACCGTTACAAAATTTTATATTAAAATGAAACGAAATATTCCTTTTTTGAAGGGTTTATTTTCAGATGAGTTATGAAAAAATTTAAATTTTAAGGAATCAAATAAGCCTTTTAAATGCCAAAGTCAGCAATAAATTTTGAAACCAAGCGCATTATTACAGTTTAAATAAATAACTCTAAAAAACTGAATTGATTTGGTTTTGTTATTCACTTTGGTAAAATGCATTCTTCTATTTTGCAAAAACAGAGGCTCAGCACTGATCAGACAACTGCAACTCGCAAGCGTCGTTGCGAAGAATTTGTCGATACAATTAATGGCTGGGTCATGTGTGCCAGGCAGCGAGACTGGTAAGGAGAAATTTTATATATTTAAAGTTGAGAATAAAACATATGTACAAATTTATTCCTATTTTTCTGCAACACAATTAAAATTTTTGTCTGCTTATTAAATTTACATATTTTCTTATATATGGTCATAAAATATAAAATAAACCAATTTTTCTTTAATTTGAACTGAAAATTAAGAAGTAAACAGTAATTCTTGAATGTAAACGCAGTTAGAATGAACACTCCATAATTGATTTTTTTCCTTAGTTTGGGCAAAACGTTTTTTATACAATGTGTCTTATTTATCCTTCTATAAAATGCACAGAGATCAAGCGCCAGCAAATGATGGATGACATTGCTCACTACCTCTACCAAACAACCACACCACTAAAAAAGCGCTACAATGCTGACCGTGAAGTGACAGAGTCGCGAGTGCCACGCAATGAGTCTAGTAAGGAGAAATTTTATTATCTTAAGTTGAGAATAAAACATATTGAAAAGTCTTTTATCCATCCTCTTTACCTGCATCACAATTTAAATTTTTCGCCTGCTCTTATCAATATATTAAATTTGTCAATTTTTCCTTCTATTCCCCAAAAATTAAGAAGTTACAGTATTTTTTTTTATGCAAACGCAGTTGGAATGCACACTCCAAAGTTCATTTTTTCCTTCGTTTGGACAAACAGTTTTCACAACGTGTCTAATGTATCCTTCTATAATGCACAGGGCCTGAACATCAGCAAGAGACTCAGCAGGTTGCTAGAAACGACTATTACTCTACCATGGTACCTTTGCGGCAGCCAGTGATTGCTGACCTTGAACAGACAGAGTTGGCAGTGCCACGCTGCAAAACTGCAGGTAAGGAGAAATTTTATAATCTTAAGTTGAGAATAAAACATATTGAAAAGTCTTTTATCCATCCTCTTTACCTGCATCACAATTTAAATTTTTCGCCTGCTCTTATCAATATATTAAATTTGTCAATTTTTCCTTCTATTCCCTAAAAATTAAGAAGTTACATTAATTTTTTTAATGCAAACGCAGTGGGAATGAATCACTTTACAGTTTTTTTTTTTTTTATTAGTTTGGACAAACAGTTTTTTACAATGTGTTTATTAATCCTCTTCTATTATGCACAGACATCAAGCGCCAGCAATTAATGGATGATATTGCTGAGTACCTCTACCCAACAACCACACCACTCAAAAAGCGCTACAATGCTTGCTGACCGTGAAGTGACAGAGTCGCGAGTGCCACGCAATGTCTGGTAAAGGAGAAATTTTATTATCTTAAGTTGAGAATTAAACATATTTAAAATTCTTTTTTTTATCCATCCTCTTTTTCTGCAACAAAATTTAAATTTTTCGTCTGCTTATAATCAATAATATATATATTTATTAAATTTGCCAATTTTATTTTTTTTTAACAGTCATTTAAAAGTAAACAGTTATTTTTGAATGTAAACGCAGTTAGAATGAACACTCCAAAATTATTGTGAAGTCAACAATTGAATATCTTTGAAATTTCAACTTACAACGCTTTATATGGATAGTTTTTGTACTAAAATGTTGTCAAATAATTTTCAATGAAATATTTATTTACTCAGTTTTAACATTAGCTCAAAAATATATTTGCATTGCAATTGTATTGCTTTCTTGACTAGTTTTTCATAATCACACTATGGAGGATTTGGATTTGAGCGCGAATTCGACACAATGCGCCCAATTGATGTGGGGTTCGGAATATCGCCGAATTTCCTAGCATCGATCGCTTTCGGTTTAAAAATTCATTCAACCCCAGCAGCTCTTATTTGTTCCTTGCAAAATGGAACATTCACGTCTCATGTAAGCATCGCTTAATTTCTTAATTATGTAACTTTGTTTGTTTGTTTTGGGTTCGTCATAGAGACGTATATAAATGTATTATATAAAGAATTTCACGATCCAGGCCGGCAGTTGAAGAAATTCCTGATGATGTTTTTCCATTTTTTTTTTCGTTTTATAAAGCTGGATATTACATAAGAAAAATCCCAGTTATATTTATTTAAAAGTGGTGTATGGTGGTGTATTTATAAATAATTAATTTTTTTCCTCCAAAGTGTGCATTTCTATGGCCTTGGGGAAGGCAGCAATTTGGTCCAAATGACTGGATTAAATTTGCCTCATGATCAAGACCCCTGCTGGAGAAGATATTCAGCAGCAAAACGAACAGATTGCACAAGGCCAAATCAATGCTGTGGAATCCGATGATAATGGTTCCGCTGGAGATGACGATGCTAAGGTAAAAAATTTCAACAGTTGAAATAATATTTTTATATTTGTTATAATAAATAAACTTTCATCAGGTTGAAGACTTGATTGGAGAGGTGACTTATGGAAACAATGCTGAGGTGGAAGAGGACAGGCCCTTGGCGGAGACCGGGAAAACATTTGTCGACTTTGTCATGTATGTTAATATGTATCGCCCTAGTAAATGAAAAATTGTAGGTATAATATTGCAAAATTTCAATATTTATGCAACATTTGTCCATTGATTTTTTAAATGAGCCAATATTAATCCAATTAATTCTCATTTATTGTAGCAACAATTATTTCAACACTAACTCACATTACCAAATGCGAGTATTATTTTGCTTTTAATAAATCAATCCAGGAATTTCAAATTAAATTTGATTAACGTAAATTAATAAAATTAAAAAACTTTTAAAATACCAAGTTTTACAATTTGAAAACCAGGTGGCAAATTCATGTACTTCATAATGCTATTCGAATAATTTTCCACTTCTTTGTTCTACCGAAAATATTATTTATTTATTAATACAAAGACAATCTATCATTGGTTTTAAATAAAAATCAAACTTCTACTTGAACAGCTAGGAAAATTAGTGACATCCAAGATATTCCTGATTATACCAATGGTTTACATAATTTATACTGATTTATACTTTTTTCTGTATTTTACATTTGAAATACTTTAAATCCTTTTCATATTTTTACATTTCAAAATGTTCCAATATTCATAAATAGTCTGGAATAGCAATTAATTAGTGGATCTCATCATTCAAGTTTTAGTAGCATTTTTTTTAATGAAATTTCTCACTCAAATGTTGTATTTTTAGAAAATTAATGCATTCTACTATTTCTACTGGCTTTGATAAAACTCAAACAGGAAATCGTAACTCGTCATCAAGCAATGTGGTGCTGTAGTCATCAAAGAAAAGTTCCTTGACGGTTTCAGGGAATTTCAGATTGAAAATCTGGTTGTCCTCAGGAACTTCTTGGTCCGCTTCCCTTCTCTCTCGGTTCTTCAACCGAAACTGCATACAAAAAATTATAAATTTTACTTAAACTGTGCTGAGGCGATATGAGAAGACTTTCAAAACTAACCATCGGTTCCAAATTCTTGAGGCCCCACGCCTCCAGTCTGAGCTTGAATTGTTCTCCAACAAACTCAGCTGGGATTCTCTGCAAGCATCTCTTTAGCATCAGTGGTCGGCCTGCGCCATAAGTGGCCACAAAAGCAGTCGCGGCTGCCTCTGCTAAATCATGATCCAGCTCGAGGGCTTTCAGGACTGAGGTGGTGATGGTCCTTCTGGCAGCTGCACAACCACTTCTGCGTCCGTAGCCCAGAGAGTGGCCAATAAAACCCATGGTGTGGACAGCCTGAGAAGCTGCATTGACACCATCGTCAGGCATAGAAATTGGGTTCAAAATGGTCTCCAGGAGGTATTTTTGGCTCCACTTTGGTCCGTAAATTCTGGCCAGCAAAAGTGCTCCAAAGACGGCTGGTGACTCTGCTCGGCTAAACGCAGCCTCTAGATTTTCCAAGATTTCATCAAGGGAAGGTGGAGGTTCCTTCAAATAGTTCTGAAAATATAAAATAATTTTTATTTTCATTTATATTGTTTGTTAATGTATTATAATAATTCCCTAATAAACACTAACAATTATTTCAAAACCACCTTTTACCGAGTGTTAAAAATATCGATGTTCATTTTGTTTGTACGAAACGCAAGACGTTTGTACTTTCATCAGGAATTTGTTTTTCATGAATGATATTTGAAGAAAAAAAACTACAGGCAACGTTGGAAATATAAATTTCAACTATAAAAATTTAGCGTAAAATTAAAAATTATGATTAATTAATTTATAGATGAGAATTTGAATTTTATCTTCTCTCGCATAAAATTCTAGCTTTTAAGTGTACCTCTAAAATCTGACAGAGCTTGTCAGACGTCTCAAATGGCTTTTCCTCCACCAATTTCCAAATAGCATGGCGCACACAGTCGTCCAGAAGACCCTTCCCAAGCGCCGCTGGCCACACCTTAAGAACTCCCAAACACAAAGGACCTGCTCGTGGTCCGCCACGGCCAAGAATTTCACTCATCATGGCAAGCAGATGTCCTCGACTTTTCTGAATGATACTGAGCCAGCCAGCCAAATGGCCCAAGAATTCAGCCTCAAGGTTGCCAACAGGAGGGCCCTCTTGGACAGTGAGACAGTCGGGCACTGCGTCGACCACCGCAGTTTCCAATTGAGGCCATTGTGAGGCGGCCAGGAGCCGAATCAAGGCAAGAAGAGGCCTTTCCAGGGTATGGCTACAATTGTTGCGAACGTAGAAGAAAAGCAAACTCCTAAAATAATGTTAAAATTAATAAATTAAAATTTTTAAAGCACAAAAAATTTACTTGGCCAGTTGTTTGATTTGGAGCTGCGGCTGAAGTCCGTTCAGGTGAGTTCTAATGACAAATAGATGTTCTGATGAAGTGCAGTCCTTCAATGGGATCAGAGCAAGAGAAATCATGTAACTCATTTCTCCTAGATTATAAATAATAAAAGAAATATGAAATGTTTTTTAATAAATTTTAGAATACAAACTTTCTTGCTTCTCTTCAGACTCTCTGAAATGAGGCTGTTTGAGGAAAACTGCAATGCTATCTTGGGCAACATCCCCATCAACAGGCTCTAGAATCTGCGATTTTTTTAATGAAAATTATTATAATTAAATTTTTCAACAATAACTAAAAAGAACTAACCCTCTTGCGCTTCCTTTTCCTCTCCTTTTGAGGTTGCTGATCATCATTGTCACTGCTCTTGCTGTTTTCTTTGTGAGGACCATCCTCCTTCCTCCGCTTCTGAGGCAATTTTGTTCCTCTTTTACCAGCCTTGGGACTATTTTTCAAGCGTTTCTCTTTCACCGGAACAGCCAAGGCAGCTTCGATCGCACCCTACAAGAATTCAAATATCATAATCATTTTCATTCACTGCATTTCAACACATTCGAAGCACCAATTTTAGGGATAAATTAACTAACCTCGGTCGGTTGAGAGTTCAAATCTTTGTTCGCCAATTCCGGCATCGTCGATAATTATTTCCAATTATTAATTATAGCTACCATATTCAATGTCATAAACCTGCAGCAAGCAAAGAAAATTATATAAAGCATACAAATAAATATCAAACGTTAAATACAAATTAATATTTGTTTGACAATCTTGAAGGGAAAATATAAAAATAATGGGCTTAAGGCTTGATTAATATCATAGTTAATATGTAGAAATGGTACAAATGTACGAAAGGATTGTAAATTGCAAGGTAATAATAGCGCAATACTCTAGATTGGCGAGAAGAACAAGAGAATTAAGAATTAACCTATGATTTGTGAGGATGAGGATGGATCACGCCAACGTTCATGCCCTGCGGAGTTTTGAGACACGGAAAAGCCAGACAAGCCAGTATGAGCCAACGAAAGATGATATACCGACGAGAATTGATAAAGTAAGAAATGAATTATTTACATACCCAATCGTTATTTTATGTGACTATAATTGTACCTAGAAGGTAGAAAACATACTATGCGGCAGAGTGTTGAAGAAAAAATCGGAAAACCGCGAGCGAAGAGCTTTTTCTTTATGTATCTCTTTTAAATCTGCTGCTAGAGAAGTAGAGAGTGCGAGAGTGGCAGAAACAGAAACTGCACAGAGGGAGAATTGGCTGCAAGATGCAAGACGGTGGGTAGTGAGAGTCTCGCGCCAAACGCAGTTGCTGTTACTTGTTACGCATGTCAGAACTTGCAAATTTACCGGAGTCGACAAACAAAAAGCAGAGCAGCAAAAACTCGTATTAATCCAGCGCGCAATGCATGAGCGCAGCAGAGTTAGCTGGCAGTCTTGTGGCTGGAATGGAATTCGTGTTTTATTCTGTTTTCTTCTGTAAACTACTTTTACGAACTATTTTTACTGCAGTGAAAGAAGAAACTGAAGGAACGATTGAAGCACAAAAATATAATCCATGTATGTAACAAATTATGGCAATTTTTAAAGCTTATATTTTATGCATGTGGAAAAAATTATAAAATTTATAATCGCGCAAAATTTATTGATGCTTTTTTGATGAGACGCAATAAATTAACACTAATTTTTGTATTTTTGTGAAATTCAGCTTGTGGAGAATGGAAGACAATATTAAAATTTCCATGACGAAAATATGTATATTAACTGGATTAAAGGAAATAGTTAAAAATAATTTTTATGTTAATAAAAATGGATTTATTTATCTTGCATGTTTTTGCAAAAATTGGCTACATAATTCAAATTATTTGCCTTTTATTCTCTTCGAAAGAAGAAGAAAAGTCGTCGGACAAGTAAAATATTGTAAAATATTTCGTTTTTTTTTCAGACATCAGGACATCGCAGTCTTTGGAAGCCTTCAAATTGTCATAAAGGTAAAATTTCAAACATTTATTTCAATTTTATCACCATAGCGTCAAAATTTGTCTCTGATTGTGAAAATTACTTCAATGCTTCGGGCCAAAATATTAAGTTAGACAAAATTAAATTTGCAGTGTTTTATTTTTTTTCATTTTTAATGAAGTTCTTTTTACTTGCTTATAGTTTGTTATTTCTTATTTATATCATAGCTTATAGCAATTAAATTTGTTTTTTCTATCTCTTTTTATGTCATGCTAATAATTTGAGGACATTTAAGAAAAATATGAATGTGAAAATGCTTAAATAGAATTTTTTGTTTACAATTTTTGTCACATTAGCGAGGGAAGCAAAATAATGTGCAAATGTATATAAATCTCATAAAAAGTTAATATTCATTATCAATGATTTATTAGCAGGCTAGATAAAGTAAAAAAATAAATTACAATTATCGGCATTGTTCTTTTCGCAAATCAATTTCTTTAATAATTAAAATGCATTTTTGATTAAGCGAGTGCAAATTAAGCCGAGTGTATCTTCTGAAGGTCGGCGCAATTCGCATTTTAATCTTCTCATGTCCAGCGCGCTGTGCCCGCGAGGAAAAGCAAAGTGGACGGTGGTGGGTTTGTGTGCGGACGAGAGAAGAAGTGCTAATGCGAGATGCGAGTGGCCTTGCGCATTTTCATCTCTCTCCACAAGTGACCTTCGCGATTGAGCACCATCGTCCGGCGCCGCCGTGGTGATCCTTCGGTGTTCCTTCGCTCGCGGTTTTATATTAATTCGCGTACGTGTTTTTATCGGGCGAATAAAAAGGCAAAAGAGATCGACTGGCAGCAGGTGGGTTTTTTTTTTACTCGGCGTGTAGCGCGGCTGCCGCGAATTTATCTCTGCGCGCTTCGTTCTTTCAAGCGCCGCGAGGCCAACGATCTGCTTCAGAGGCGCGCTTTTAATTTTCCATAATTGTGCTACGGTTATTGAGTGCCTCCGTTAGATTTATACTCTGCCTCTTCATATTCCCTTATCAAAACGACAATTCTCTGGGCTTGAATGACCACTGACGAACAGAACTTCAGTCACACTTTTCTATTTCATACCGATTTTATACAGTGCCTGTGATATTTTTTTTTCAATTTTGCTCGTGTTTTAAAGAGACACAGATAGGCTAGTCTTTTAGTTGATCATAATTTTTTTTTTCCATCCAATGGAGTCAAAATTTTAATAAATTACAGAATCTAGGAAATACAAATTTGTAATTTCTTCACTAATGTCCAAATTTACTTTTTCTTACAATTATTTTGTACCTGGCTCAAAAAAAAAAAAAAATTATTAAAAGAAAATTGCCAAGATTTCAAACATATTGGGATCTTAAAATATTTTCGCTTTTCTTCAAAATTTAACTCAATAAATTGTTACCAAATTTTTACAAAAAAATGTGCGCTTCTTTTGAATTAATTTTTTTTAATATATTTCAAGTTTAAGCAAAAATTTTGGCTTTACGAGGGTTTTATTTTCCTTGGACATTTTCTTTTTCTTTGATGTGATAGGATCATTGATCAAACTGCATGGTACTGTGGCTGTATGCTCATGAGTAAAGATAAGGAGTAAAATAAACAAAGATTTTCGCTTCACGACTTGCCAAATTCTTCTATTGGATTTTTATTCTTATAATTTTGAGTTTTGAGCGTTACAGTTCTTAAAATATTACTACCTAGAAGTCATATAATTATTAATTTAATTTTGAAGAATACAATCTGAAATTCACACATTATTGAGACTCATAGCTGCTCATAGCCCATAGATCTATTCAGCTACAGGTTCCTGCAGCTAATTCAAAATTTTTGATCATCCATTCAAGTTAGGCTTACTTAGGAAAGCAGAAACACCTCTCCTTATTTAAAATGCCACTTGTGCCAGGTCATGTTCTATCAGCGCTGTCCGGGAAACAATTCGGTTCAAGTTAAATTTTCCCAGCTTTCACTACCTGCTGGCTCGCAGGGCAAATCCAATTCAATTGATGTGTCAACCCAACGAGTTAAAGGTATAGAATAATCCAGCATCCAACTGCAGTGTGTTGTGAGCGAGTGAGTCACAATATAATCGAGAGCCGCGCGCGTTGGCCAATATCTCACACAAGAAAACTCCGCTGTGCGTCGTCTCTCGATCTCACCTGTGCCATTAAAGAAAAAGATATTCGCTGCTCGTCGAGACGTGTGCTATGTTATAATATCGGTTGTGCCATTTAATTTTTTCCTCGTGTGTCTGGCATATTATCATATCATGATGGTTGAGAAACAATGGGCTCTTTGCTTGGGTGGAACAAGTAACCTTTTTTAGAGTGGCTTGGTGACAAAAATTGTTTTTTAAAATGTATTTTATTATTCAAAGTGAAAAAATGAATTCGGCACCCACTGTGAATAGCAAATAAGGAATCAGACATTGAGACTTTTCATATTTCTTTGACTGGATTTATATTTAAAATTTAAATTCAAAATTATTTCTTAACACCAAAACTCCAGGTCAAAAGACAAACAAAATATTTTTTATTTGAAGTTAAAATAAAAGGTCAAATCTTACAAACAAAATTTATAAAAATTTGTAAATCAGTGTGTTAATTATACAAATTTCAAGTTGCCTCATTGATATATTTATTTGTAAACTATTATATAAATTTTTAACTTTTTAAATATTCAAAGTGAAAATAATATTTTTTTTGAAGAAAATGACACTCGAGGAGATGATCATGAAAATGAATGTATCGGGCTTTTTCCTCGTTGCAGAATTTTATTTTATTCATAAAACAAATGGCTCTACCAGTTTCGATCACGGTTTGCACCCCTATTTCATGAGCAAGAAAAATACAAAATATCAGTAAAATTGAAAAACATCTCATTTTAACATAAAAAATTAAAATCTTAAAACTAACAAATTCAAGTACCATCCTATTCCAAGAGCAAACGCGCTGCTTGCTGACTAACAAGAATGAGCTAAGCTAAAGACAGATTGATTGGGAGAGGTGAACTTTATTGGGTGATTAGCGCACGGCGCGGCTGGCCACGGGGGCGCCGAATGACGTCGCGGACATTATACGTTTTCGAGAAAAAGCTGTCTGCTTCCTCTCTCAAAAAAGACATCCACCTTTGGTCAATTTGGTGGCTCGGTTGGCTTATTACATTATTACCGCATGCCATTGCCATTGCTTCCAGCACTTTCCTTTTTGATTAATTTTGTTCCGCGCCCCCGTGGCCGGCCGCGCCGCGCGATAACCACCCAATAAAGATTACCTCTCCCAATCAATCTGTCTATAGCTAGCTCATTCTTGTATTGGTCAGTGAGCATCGCGTTTGCTCATGAAATAGGTTGGTACTTGAATTTGTTAGTTTGAGGATTTTAATTTCTTATGTTAAAATGTGGTGTTTTTCAATTTTGCTGATTTTTTTTCTTGCTCATGAAAAAAGGGGCTCAAACCGTGACCGAAACTGGTGGAGCCATTTGTTTTTTTTTTTAATAAAAAAACAATTTCTGCAACGAGGAAATAGCCCGATTCATTCATTTCCATGCAAATAATATATAAATAATTTCATTAGATATAACGAGATATAAAAGATATAACAATTCAAAATTGAAACTATTATTTTGTGCTTTTATTCGTGATAATAGAAGATTGATTTGTGAAATTCGTGATATTTATAGCACAGGGACTTCCCAGATATCTCTGCACAGTTGTAGCTGATAGCAGCTAGTTGCGCGTCAACAAATATAAAATGACACGTATAGTAAACAAAAGCAGTGGAAATTCAGCAAACGCGAGCGAAATGAGACTTTAACGGTGAAGCACTTTTTCAACACTCTGCAGTACAACGAACGCAATTTTTCAGGCAGCTTCTTTTCTCATTAAGAAAATTATACATGAACATTAAGCAAAACGCGCGTCACTTTCGTTGGGTTCATTGATATGGAGACGGAACAACGCTCGGCGATTTTCCACAAATTCCAGCAGGTGTGTGAGATCATCATTGAGATGCGCGGCGTCGCGCATTATTATTAAAACTCGCGAGTCAGTGAATCTAGACAGGAAGAGAGACGCACACAGTTAATTTGTAATTGGAGGTATGTAATGCACTACTGAAATGGAAACTGACGAGCAAACAAAGAGCGGTTGACTTTTTCTTGTCGATTGACACGAACAAGTCGCTCTCTCGCGCGTAGTATTGAATTACATTAAGCGCGACCGCGCTATTGTTAATCAACCAATTTTCCGACCGACTTCCACCAGTTGTCCTCCAAACGGCGATTTGTTACACATAATAATAATACACGCCATAGTAATTTGCCAGATATTAATTTTAATAACCGAGGGAACCGCCTGCAAAAAATTCCGAAAGGTTATTCAAAGGTGGCATCCGAGCATATTAAGCCCAAATCGAACCTGACGCAATCAAGGGGAAGGGATCGCGACGGCGGTAGGGGAATCAGGGCCCTCCTTTCACCTCTCAGTCCGTCTCTGCAGCGGCTCCAGCACACATCAGGCACAAGGTGAGTGGCCGCCCCCATGGGGATTCTCTTATATTTAAAGGGTTCCCAAATTTCCTTTCTTCCATTTTTCACTTCGACTTTCAATTAATCTTATTTTGCATTCAATAAAAATTTTTAAATAATTTAAAAATTATAATCCATCTGCAAACCAGGAAATTTTTATCGCGTTTTTTCGTATTCGAGGAAAGGTTGCGCAGAAATGACGACAGCATATATAAGTGCGGTGTGTGTGCATTTAAAATTGGTATATTTCCAGGAAAACGCCGGACTTTCATTCACACTCACTGTCCAATTTTCGTTTCGTAACAAATTATAATGTTTTGCTCATCCGAGATCGGAGTCTCTGTGGTTTCTGCCTCTGGTTTAAACAAAACGCGCAGTAGTTTTCCCCCGCAGATACACGACTTTTGTTGCTTTGCGTGCAAAAATAATCTGCTTACGAGCCGGATAAAAACCACCAGTGAATCATTGATCGAGAGGCGCA